ATCAATCAATCAATCAATCAATTAATCAGTCAATCAATTAATCAGTCAATTAATCAGTCATTAAGCCAGTCAGTCAGTCGATCAATCAATCAATCAATCCATTAATTAATTAATTAATCGAAATTCGTTAAAATAATCCCTTGTGGAAATATTCCACGTTCGTGTGAACTGTTTTTCTATGTCGTTTGGCATTGCCATAGCGACCGCATTTTGGCAGGCAGGTCAAACCACATTTCATCTCTTTTTTGACAGAATTCTTCTTTGTTTTTGTTTTTGTTTTGTCCGTTTTCTTGAACAGTGTTGCAAACTTAGATTCTTTTTCCACGCCATTTATCAATCTGTATTAATTTGCCTTCAATTTACAGTATTTTCTTATTTTTTGAGATTTTGTTCGGTTACAGCTGGCAAAAAAACCTACCAACAAAAGTGTAACAAGAGTTGATGGTTCTAAATTATAGAGCAGTTTTCACTTGGGTGAGAGCGATTTGCATTTGCTACTTCGTTAGGTGACTTTCTTAAAAATCTCGCCCTATTTTGTCATCTAATCAGTAGTAAAAACTACCAATCGACATTAACACGCACGCGTTTTCCCTCGCTTCTCGTTGTCGACATGTATATTCTTAGGTTTTGATTGGTTTTATATTGGATTGTTTCTGTTCTTTGTGATTAGTGCGAGTTACTTACTTTAATGGGGTTCTGTTTTTATGACACTCATTCGAAAACCGCTCTAATACTGCTAGCAATAACAATGTTAACAGTAGTTTGTTTACGGTTGTCGTAATGTTACTTTCTGCATTTTTGGGAAAATGGTGAGGTCCAAGATGGCGGATCTAAGCTGCCTGACATTGGACCTAAGGTGACGTCATATCGCTTCATGACCAATAGAAAAACAGATCATAGTTGGTGACTAGTCACCAACAACAGTTCTTTTCAGAATTACCCTCACCCAGACGATCACACAAGCTGATCTGCTAAAAAACATATCGTTATTAGAGCAAGCTGAGGAATGCCTCTGAGCATCAAATGACTTTGATGATCTTGCAAAAACAAAAACTCTGTGGGGGCTCCATCAATCTCCCTTTTGTGTCACGGTCGGGGTATGAAGCTTAATTGTACGTCTGAGGGTGAATCAGCTTGACTTTGGAACAGAATTTGGTAAAGCAGATTCCAACCTACTACAGTTATTTACACTTAAGCCCTTACGCCTTTAAAATTAGGAGATCGGTTTTTGAAGAATGCTTTAGGCAAACAGAGTAGCAGGGATTTGCATGGGGAGCGCTAATATGACTGTTTCTAAGATTTGTTTTGTTGTGATTGAGGTCGGTGCTATTCCCCTTTTTTCTTCATTGTGTGAGTCGTTAAGTGTTGCGGACAGAAACATAATATTGGGTGTTAGTATAACGTCAAGCAGAAACAATACTCACTACATTTTCGGTTTGTCTTTCAGTATGTGAAGCTGTTGGTGTAGAGGATAGGAATAAAATACCAGATGCTAGAATGACCGCAAGCACATTATATGATAATAGATATCGTCCATACTATGGCCGCCTGAATGAACAAAGGGAAAGGGCAGCGTGGTGTACTGAGACAAAAACAGACAGAACAGACTATCTTCAAGTTGATATGGGTACAGTGCACTCTGTTTGCGAAGTTGCAACACAAGGCCCACAGAAAGACGATGCGTGGACCACCAGCTACAAAGTACATCTTTCTACAGATGGAGTCAATTGGAACGCCTACAAGGAGAACAATGAAGAAAAGGTATCGTACTGGAAGTCAGGTGATATCCTAAATTTGCGTGACCTATCTTTTCTCTTTATTATACTGTTGTAGTCACTATCTGTCTTCTCATTGGCTAAAAGCATACAGTTAATTCTGGGAAACAGCGCAACCTACAGATTATTCACTAATCTGCTAACAGATTAGTAAATAATCTGTAGGTTGCGCGCGCAATGCGTGATTTCCAAGAGCAATGTCAAGTTCACGTAAGAACATGGCTTGTTGAAAATAAACTGTGTTCGGTGCGATAATGCGTTTGTCGTTATTTTCTTTAAAACAATGTATAATATAATAATTATGAGATTCGGTTCTTGTGATATCCGAAATAATCAGGGTCTCGGCCTAAGCCTTCAGCTTCGTCTGATAACACTTATTTCGGATCATGATATCACAAAAACCTCATCCAATAATTGTTTACAATTTCCATTCAGGACTATTTCATGATAAGTAAGCGCTTACGAATCAGAGCTTAATAAAAAATGCGCCCGGTAGTTGGGCATGACCATTGGCATAACTAAACGGAATTTCTCCGAAGATTTTGCCGACAATTTATTGTACACACTGTAATCTGTGATCTATTCTTCTCATTCGCAGGTGTTCCCAGGAAACACAGATCAACATAGTATTGTGAAGCATTCTCTAAGCACAGACGTCAAAGCAAGATTTATTCGATTTTATCCTGTCACACATAAAGTTCATCCCTGTTTGAGAGTTGAAATATTTGTGCTAAAATAATATGATAACTAATTTTTAAGCGATAACGTAATCGCTTTATGCTGGCATGCATGCATTCCTTTGGATAGTGATTTCGCATAGTTTGTCGCACTTACGTCCGTGCGCTTATGTCGCGCACTTTTTATCCCCCTGTGGAAGCGAAATGCACTCTGGGAGTTCCTTTGCTGCTTGCCTTTGCTGTTTGTAGGTTCAGCGGAGTGCTTTTAATTGGAGCTNGTGACCTATCTTTTCTCTTTATTATACTGTTGTAGTCACCATCTGTCTTCTTATTGCTAAAAGCATACAGTTAATTCACCTTCAGATTATTCACTAATCTGCTAGTAGATTAATAAATAATCTGTAGGTTGCGCGCGCAATGCATGATTTTTAAGAGCAATGTCAAGTTCACGTAAGAACATGGCTTGTCGAAAATAAACTGTGTTCGGTGCGATAATGCGTTTGTCGTTATTTTCTTTAAAACAATGTATAATAAAACAATTATGAGATTCGGTTTTTGTGATTTCCGAAATAATCAAGGTCTCGCCCTAAGCCTTAAGCTTTTGCTGATAACGCCTATTCCGGATATCACAAAAACCTCATCCAATAATTGTTTACAATTTCCATTCAAGACTATCTCATGATAGGTAAGAGTTTAGGGATCAGAGCTTAACAAAAAAAATGCGCCTGGTAGTTGGGGATGACCATTGGCATAACTAAACGGAATTTCTCCGGAGATTTTGCCGACAATTTATTGTACACACTATGTAATCTGTGATCTATTCTTCTCATTCGCAGGTGTTCCCAGGAAACACGGATCAACATAACATTGTGAAGCATTCTCTGAGCACTGACGTCAAAGCAAGATTTATTCGATTTTATCCTGTCACACATAAAGTTCATCCCTGTTTGAGAGTTGAAATGTTTGTGCTAAAATAATATAATAACTAATATTTGCCTCGTGTCCACATGACCAAAGCCGTACATTCCTGTGTAAAATATTCCTGTCTAACCATTCTTAACGTTTCTAATGTAAGATTCCTGTGAAGATAGATAGGTAGACAGATATGGTTCAGGGAACATACGTGTTAATCAATTTTGGCTTCGAAAGCCAGGTACAAAACCGGCGATAAATTGACAACGTTTGGTGCTATTGATTTTGTTTCAATCACGCTGTACAGATTCAAGACACTATTGATTTTGTTTGTCGGGGGGACTGGGACGCAGACCTTGGAGACTCAAGCATTTGTAACCATTTGTGACAGGCTGTTTTTAGCATTTTATTTTGTTAATGTCCGATCCCTGGGCTCACGCAACTCGCTTGCGTTTAAATTAAATTTGACAACAAATATGGGTTTTAGTCACGCAAACTAATCTCTTTAGCGCATTTTCGGCGAATAAGCAAACAGGTAAATAACTCACAAAAATTAATTGTTAGGTTTGTGATAAATATCTTACTGTATATCGAACTGCATTCGCAATGCTGCCGGCGGTGTAACGCTTTCATTGTGATCACGTCGATGAGGGTTTGAACAACAGTGAACTACTCATTCTCAAGAAAGTCACGCAAGACAATGTTCAGCGAAAAGTCAACGAATTTGTCAAGGTACATAAGAAGAAGCTTTAGGGCCTCACAATGAATTCTCCTGTTCTTTTTACTCACAAAGATACAGTTTTCAACATTTCGTATAACAAATTGTCTGAAGAAGAACTTGACATTTTTAAAATTTGGTCTTACGTGTTCCATAAAACCACCGTATCTAAACAAAAGTCACGTTTTTAAAGCATTTGAACGTCTTCACCAAGATCTTAAAAGACATCTCGCGGACAAAAGCAAAAGCAATGAAGTAAGAAGTGAAATCCAGCTTTTGGCAACCATTTATGTCAACTTTGTTCAAGCCTTCGCTAAATGACTGAAGAAACTCAAAAAGAACAAAAACATCATTATCCTAAGACCTGATAAAGGTAATGGTGTTGTGGTGCTTGATAAGGTAGTCTACAATAATGCAATGGGTGATTTGTAGAGTGACCTGATTCTAAATTAAGAAATTGCAATCTGATTTAATATCGCGTTACAACGGTATTCACGTAAGCTTAAGAAAAATGGTTTGGTTCATACCGAGATGTTTATCCTACTGGTTCTCAACCAGCTAGGTTTTATGGTTTACTTAAATTACATAAAGTCAAAGATTCTAGATCAACTGTTCCTCCTTTCAGACCTATTGTCTCCTCCACGGGAGGAAAGTATCTTTGTTGTTTACTTAAGCCCCACTTCTCGTCAGAGTTTTGTGCTACAGATACTTTCTCTTTAATTTGTTAGGGAAATTCAAGATGTAGATTCAGTGAATTTTTTTAGTCTCATATGATGCTACTAGTCTCTTTACAAACATTTCGATTTAGCTGTCAATGCTGTTTTTAAAAGAAATGCTGTGCCAGACCTCAAACGCAAGAAAATTCAACTTAAGAAACTCTCTAATACTATTAGCCACACCCATGTTTTTTTTTTTTAATTCAACGGTTCCTTTTATAATCAAATAGGTGGAATAGCTATGGGTTCCCCTTTAACCCCCGTGTTCAAGTGAGCCAATTTTTTCATGGGTCATTATGAAAAGCTTTGAATAAAGAACTACACTGGTCCCAAGGTACTACAGATAGATAGTATGTAGATGATATTTGTTGTTTCAAAATCTAATGATGCTCGTTTGTTTTTTTTTTCAATATCTTAATACCTGCCATCCTAACAGTTAAGTTTACTATGGAACAGAGGAAAAGGGTCAGTTGCCAGTTTTAGATGTATTGTTATCTATGCACAGTGCTTGTGATCATCAAGGCTTGTGCACATATTACTTCTTTTTATCATTTTAGCTTTACTCCCTTTACATGTAAATTTCAATTAGGGTTGATCAAAACTCTCATAGACCGGGCCTAAAAAAGAAATAACACTTCTCAGGGTTTTCATAATGACATAAAAAATCTTTGTTATATTTGAAACGCAGTATGTTTCCTAAGTGGCTTATTGACAAATCAGTTAAAGTTTATCTTAGTAGGGTTAGAACAACAGAAAAGGAGACTTCCAAATCTGATACATCCAACTGTCATTTCTACAAGTTACCTTATATCGGTTATTATTATTCTTACACGGGAAGACAATTTTCATCTATTAATAATTATTAAAAAGTATTGCAAAAACCTACACGTAAAAATTATTTTCTCTCCATTCAAACTTAAAGATATGTTTAGTCCTAAAGATGTCGTTCCCGATTCTCTTAAATCACGTGTTGTTTATCAGTTTACTTGTGCGAGCTGTGGAGTTCGTTATATTGGTGAAACCAATAGGCATTTTAACACACGTGTTAATGGGCATCTTTTTCAGGACAAGAATTCCCATGTTTTTAAACGTCTTAATATTGGGGGAATTGTCGAGATAAGTGTGATGTTTCTAGTTTTAACGGAAATTCTAGATCATACTTATAATTTTTCTCAACTTAAAATAAAGAGAGTTTTTTTATATTGAACAGTTGAAATCTGAACATACAAGCAGCCAATTGACATCAGCGTTAAATGGAAATAAATTATAGGTCAGCAAGATAGCACAAATGCACACATTAAAAGAAAGGAAAAGACGAGGGAAAAAAAGCTATTACTACGCTATTAGGGAAGTCTGCAATAATTGAATTTATATATGAGTATAAAATTTTCATATAAGAGAAGCACACGATTTTAGAACTTTGACAACTAATAAAACATAGTAACATTATGCGGATATTTATATTAACTAATATATAGATTTAGGCCAGCCTAAAAGCGTAGCTCCTGGGCCGGGTTGTTCAGAGCCAAATTAAGCTAACCCAGGAAAAGGTAGAATTTTGATTTGAGTTTTGTAACTTTGCGCTGAGGTTTTCTGTATATTGTTTGGCCTCCTGTTTTGAGGTTGAACAATCACTATATACACAAAACAAAGCAGCAAAAAACATGTGTGTAGAAGAAAAAGTTATAATTCGGTTAACTTTTAATCCTGGGTTAGCGTTAACCGGCTTCCGAGCAATCCTGCCCTGTATTCAACAAGTTAACCTGAGATTAGCCCGTGATCCAATCGAAGACCAGCACCTGGTCAGCGGTCAACTTCAAAAAAACACGCGACCTGAGCGGTAAAATTGAGTCCGCGATATGGTCACGTGATACTAGTCAGCGGATACCTTGTTTTGACAGATGTCAAGGGATTATAACATGGATGTCCAATACCAAAGAAGTACACGGTAAACCAAGGCTGCATGTCTCTGTCAACCTATTATTTGGAGTATGGCCGCCATGTTGCACGACTCCGTCGTCGTTGTTGTCGTGCGCACGCGCCCACGAGCAATACCACTAGCCATGATAACCATGAGAAAATCAACTCATTGGTTTCCTTTTCTTTCCTATATGAGTATGGGGCTCCGCTTGGCGGCACTTCGGGCCGACGGAGCTCCGCTATAACAGAACATCTAATATGGCTCAGAACGGTGACACTATTTAACGAAAGACTAAATGACACAAATGACACAACTGCAATCTAAAATAATGTGAATACATATAACTAATCATGTAACTAATAATCTTTAACAAGATCGCTTTTTGATGATTCCTTAAATTTTGATAGTGACGACACCCCTTCTATCATGATTCCACTACCATTTTATTCAGTCGAAAGACAAATGCAGATTCTGAACACCAACATCGTTGTCCACATTAAACCTGTCTCCCAAAGGAAGACGATGGGCCAGGTGCTCGCTCCGAAAGAGAAGAAGCCCCTTATTGTTAGCACTGAATCAATGCGTGGTTTACAAATTTCAATGTAACCTGTGCGACGCAGATTATGTTGGGTACACAACCCGACATTTACACCAACGCATCAGCGAACACAAATACTCAGCAATCGGCAGGCACATAGAGGAGCATAAGCTAACGAAGTCTGCTTTACAAACAATTTTCTATTTTGAAGAAATGCAGATCGAAGTTTGATTGTTTATTTTTTGAAATGCTTTTCATTGAAGAATTGAGCCCTATGTTAAATATACAGAAAGACTCGATTCGTGCCAAACTTTTTACGTGGCTCTTTGCGCGCAAATATGTTATATTA